ACTAATGATATTTTTATTAACAGTGTACAAGGGTTCATTTATATTCACATCCTCCTTAATACTTATTATTCATCTTTTGGATACTAGAGGTGTGGTGATATCTCATTGATTTGCATTTCCCTGGGTAGTGATGTTGAATATCATTTCATAAATCTGTTGATTGTCTGTATGTCCACTTTCAAGAAATGTCTATTTAAGACCTTAGCCCACTTTTTAATTATTTTCTTTCTTGCTGTTCAATTGTTCAAGTTCCTTGCATCTTGGAGATTATCTCCTTCTCAAGTTAACAAATATTTTCTGCTATTCTGGACTGTCTCTTTACTCTGTTGATTGCTTCCTTTGCTATACAGACGGTTTTTCATCTGATGAAACCCATGTGTCTATTTTTGCTTTGGTTATCTACAATCCTAACCTCTCCTTAACCCAGATCTAGCTTGTTTTACAAGCTTCATTTTCAGTCATATCCCATGCTTTCTCTACTTGTAACAGACTCCTTGCTCATCCTCCACCATTTTATATGCCTTTCTGTCTCTGTGCCTTTTTCTTTTGCTACAAATGTTCTTCCATTGCCTTTCTACCTGACAAATTATTCACCTTTTTTTAATTTACTTTTAATGTTCTTTTTATTTTCAAATGACACAATAACTATACATATTTATGGAGGACAGTGTGATATTTCAATACACGTATATAGTATGACTACTGTGTAATGATCAGATCTAGGAAACTGGCATATCCATCACGGTAAATATTTATCATTTCTTGTGTTGGGAACATTCAAAGTCATCTCTACTAGCTACACAATCGTTATTTACCACTGTTATCCTAATGTACTGTAGAACATTAGAAGTCATTCCTTCAATTCAACTGCACTCCTGTACCCCTTAACCATCCTCTCCAATTTCCTTTCCCCCACAGTCATTGCAGGTTTCTCTTAATCGTTTAAATCAAACTCAAATATTATCATGTCTCTGAATTTTACTAAATATACCTCTATTTACTAATGCTGGGTTAATTGCTTTCTTATCTTTATTCCCACAGCATTTTATAAATACCTATAAGATTTGTCACATTAAATTATAGTTATTTGTTTACATAATTACCTTCCCATTTAAAGTCTGAACTTATTGAAGAAACATGTATTTCCAACAGTAAAGTAACTCATATGAAACAATAAATGTTTGCTAAAGTGAGCTGAGTTCAGAAAATAAAGTAAATCCATGAAGCTAGGTCCCAAAAAGCAGTACTTCAAATAATAGTGGAACCAGTCTTTAACCAACATCAGGATTTATAGTTGATTTCTTTGCATAGTCTACTAATCATACACACATTCATATTCATTCATTCTTTCCTTCCTTCTCTGTTCCTCTCCCTTCACCCCCATATCTATCTCTATACCTTTCTCTTTCTCTCCCCAAATAACTTAAAATGCATATTAACAATATTGTAAGTATAAAGTCATTCTCTAATTTAATGACAAACAGCAAAAGTCTAGCCATTAATTGGAGTTTGCCTTCTTTCTTATGTAAACAATAACTTTCCTCTACATTGCTGAGTTTCCATTTTTTTTAAAAAGTGAACTGAGAACAAGAGAAGCTAAATCCCATAGTTTTGTGATTTTTTCCCAACTTTATATACACTTATTTAATTAACATAACTGCAAAAAATAAATGCAATTGGCACAAGGAAGTTTGGTTAACAATACAAATAACTCTTGATGTGTAACTAAACAGGTGAGAGAAATACAGAGATATACTTGAGGACAACTTCTAATGGGCAGCATTCACCATGTATTCATTATGCTCAGGGTATCGGTCAGTACATTTTATGGAAGGTCAGAGGAATGTCAGTTAATGAGATAATTAAGCAGAAGTTGGTTAAAAGAATTTCCAAATACTTTAAAATGAAGACAGTCCCTCATGAACTGTACATAATAGCATAATCATTTTCTAATTAAATGTTCTAAGCCATAGTTCCCCCTTCTGGTAAAGAAAGTATTACATATTGCATATCACAAACATTCTGACTTGCTCTTGCCTATTGATCCTAGTTCCCACTTCTAAACATGAACTCGTTTCACCCAAAGGCCCCAGGTTATCCATGCCTCCAAACTAATTCATCTCATAGCAAAAATGTATTTTTTTAAATCACGGCTCAAGAACCTATCCCTTATCTGTTCCTTCTATGTCCATCAGTTTATGACTGGAAGGTTAGAATTGTAAATATGCATTCAACTTGCCCTGCAACATCTATTATCTCATTTCCCCTTGTTACCTAACAGATTTTTGACGAATTATATTGCCTGTAGAATATATATGTAAACTGGGTTTCATCCTGATTGCTATCCAACTGCTTGTCCTATACTTATTATCTATATATAACCAGATTTATACATACTTGCCCAGTTCTTCCAGATTTCTGTTAGGCATATCTTCTCAGTCCATATCCTAACTTTGCTTTGTCACGCCCAAATCCACCATCTTCTCAACTAAAATTCTCAACTAAATTGCTAAGATTATATGCAAATGAGTATAATTAGAATGAAAAAGCAGTGACTCTACAGCACTAAAAGATACCTAAATCATATTCTATATATGCTTCTGTTCTGGCATAACAAATGAAATTAGACATTTTAGAAAAGTTTTGATAATGAGTGAAACAAAAAGACTTTCTGTATTTTCTCAGAAAGGATACTTTAAAGAATTAGAATATTCATTCTTTAGAAATTTATATTTTCTAAAAATTTACCATACATAAACCTTCTGAAGAATAACCAATTTTTAGTCTGGGGATGCAGCTCAATGGTACAGCACTTGGGTTTAATATGCAGTACCACATAAAACAAAAAAAGAAAGAAAAGAATAACCAATTTTAGTATCATATTTTTAATAATAAAGATTGTAATTATATTTGACTATCAAGTTTTAGTGAATAATAAAAAAGCAACTGACTCTCATAATCTCATTCTAATTTTCATAGATTACAACCTTTGTGTTATTTCCTAACCTACACTTTAAAATAATTATGAATACTTTTTTTAAAAAACATTAATTTTTGAATCAATATAACTTCTAGACTTTTTTTTTATTAGTTGCTCAAGACAATACAATGATCTTGACATATCTTTCATTTGATTCAAATAGGGTATGAATTCTCATTTTTCCACGTATACAGATTCTAGACTTTTTAACATCTCTAAAATTTCATTTAAGAAAACAGAAACAATCTTAGAGTAGTTTTGATTTGCATTTCTCTAACTGCTAGCGATGATGAACATTTTTTCATATATTTGTTGATTGATTGTATATCCTCTTCTGAGAAGTGTCTGTTCAGATCCTTGGCCCGTTTATTCAGTGGGTTATTTGTTTTTTTGGTGCTTAGTTTTTTGAGTTATTTATATACCTTAGAGATTAGTGCTCTATCTGATGTGTGAGGGGTAAAGCTTTGCTCCAAAATATAGGCTCTCTATTCACCTCACAGATTGTTTCTTTTGCTGGGAAGAAACTTTTTAGTTTGAGTCCATCCCATTTATTGATTCTTGCTTTCAATTCATGTGCCAAAGGAGTCTTATTAAGGAAGTTGGGGCCTAATCCCACATGATGAAGATTAGGGCCTACTTTTTCTTCTATTAGATGCAGGGTCTCTGGTTTTATTCCTAGATCCTTGATCCATTTTGAGTTGAGTTTTGTGCATGTCCAGTCAGAATGGCAGCTATTATGAAGACAAACAACAATAAGTGTTGGCAAGTATGTGGGGGAAAAGGTACACTCATATACTGCTGGTGGAACTGCAAATTGGTGCAGCCAATATGGAAAGCAGTATGGAGATTTCTTGGAAAATTAAGAATGGAACCACCATTTGACTCAGCTATCCCTCTCCTGGGTCTATACCCAAAGGACTTAAAAACAGCATACTACAGGGACACAGCCACATCAATGTTTATAGCAACACAATTCACAATAGCTAAACTGTGGAACCAACCTAGATGCCCTTCAGTAGATGAATGGATTAAAAAAAATGTGGCATATATACACGATGGAATATTACTCAGCAATAAAAGAGAATAAAATCATGGCATTTGCAGGTAAATGGATGGAGTTAGAGAAGATAATGCTAAGTGAAGTTAGTCAATCCCAAATAACCAAATGCTGAATGTTTTCTCTGATATAAGGAGGCTGATTCATAGTGGGGTAGGGGTAGAGAGGGGGAGCATGGGAGGAACAGACGAACTCTAAATACAGCAGAGGGGTTGGAGGGGAAGGGAGAGGGTTGGAATGTGATGGACATTATTATCCAAAGTACATGTATGAAGACACGAATTGATGTGAATATACTTTGTATACAACCAGAGATATAAAAAATTGTGCTCTATATGTGTAATAAGAATTGTAATGCATTCCATTGCCATATATAAATTTTAAAAAAAATTATAAAGACTGTAAAAAAAGAAAACAGAAACAAGAGTTTTGGTTTTGTTTTGTTTTGCAAAAGTATCCTTTTGACTAATCAAATCAGCAAGAAAAGACACTAAGATTACTCAAACCTCTGATTCCAGAACACTGTATATCAGAAAGCTACTTCAACAGTCCACAGCTTTGAAGTATTTTCAAACTACTGTGTCAACAGAAGCATAAATAATGATAAGCAACATATGACTTTAGTTATCATGGATAATTACTAAAAATCCTACCAAAAAAAATCATAACATTATTTCCTTTTGCTTAAACTATTATTAACATACAAAGAATACATATAGACATTGTCTTCCTTCCCAGCTAGAATATTACTATCTCTACTAATAATTTTTTAAGATAAATTACTAAAGAATATCCTTTATTTAAGTATGCCTTCAATTTGACAAATATAATTTAAGTGGACAAGAGATTCAATTAGGTAAAATTAGTTATCACAAAACCTGTTAAAAGACTTTTAGGTAAGACATTCTCCTAAGCATCTAAATGATAAAAGCACAAGGTCTCAGGTCTCAAATTAAAACATACCAATTTCCTCCACTTCTTCTAGGAAATCATTATATTCTCTTAGACTAGGAAAATCTTCTTCTCTTTTATTGTATCTTAAAGACAAGAAAACATCAACATGTTACATATATTTGCATTCAATATTTTAGAACTAGTTTGCTTGTTCTTAACCTCATTCATATATGACATATAGAAAATGACTGTGTACTGTGTAAAACACTGTTTTCTGGACACTAGGTTTTTAACTAGACCAAGAATGCTATTCTCCTTCCTGCACTCTTGCTGGAAATCAAACCCAGAGTCTCACATATGATAGGCAAGTACTCACCCTCTGAGCCATACACTCAGCTCAAGAAATTTGTTCTTAAAATTCTTATGACTATAGAGAAGAAGCAGAATCATAAGACTTCAGGGAAAGAAAAATTAATAGTTAATAGGTTTGGGAAATGAACTTAAACAAGGTGTATCACTGGAAATTATGAAATAATTTACTTGTTACAAATAGATTCACTAGTTTCCAGAAAATGAAAACTTAATTCAGGGACTCCTATTTTTTTCTTGACAGTTAAGAATGCTATATCAGCCAAACACAGTGACCCACTTGTAATCCCAGCTCAGATTAGAAGCTGGAGGCCAGCCACAGCAACTCAGCCAGGCCCTAAGCAACTTAGTGAGATACTGTCTCAAAATTAAAATAAAAGGGGCTATGGATGTAGCTCGGTGTCCTTGGGTTCCATCCCAATACAAAACAAAATGCTAAATCAGAAAAGCCTACAACTATTTTAACATATATAAAGAATTATAAAACTATAAGGAATTAACAATAAAAGATCAGAATCTAAGAGACTACCTCCTAGAAGCAATGTAAGTAATAAAGCAACAGCTAGGGAAACTTGGTTAGAGGCCTACATAGATGTGACTTAAATACTGGTGACCTGGGTTGAAAAGTATACCACCAAAATAAGAATTTAAACACTGGGCTGAGCTAAGTGATGTACACGCCTAGCATGCCCAAGGCTCTAACACACATTTGAAAAAACAAAACAAAAAAAAAACTTTAAAACAATTATTTTAACTTCAAAATCAATCAAGTCCCCTTTATAAAAAGGCAGATAAAATAAAATTCAAATACCATAAAATACAAATATTATAACCAATATTATAGAACAAACACACATATATAACAAAATAAATCATAGCTAACACAGGTGTTTCTCTAATAGATTTCAAACCTCAATTTAAATGTTACCTCCTCAGTTCTTACTTATCACTGATAGCTATCAGTACTCAATCACTACTTTATAGTATTTTTCTCAATTTATAATTACATAATTATTCTGCCTATTTTATTTTCTATCTCTTGGTTATACTATGCAACTACATGGTAAACCTCATGAGGACATGGTTCATGGCTAGATATTCATCATTTTGTACCTATTGCCTAACACACAAAACACACTGCATACAGTAGGTATTCTACAGTTATTAATTAAGGAATAAATGGCAAATGGATAAACTGTGAAGCTTTCAGTCAAGAGGCTCTTTAACAAAGGTTAGAATAATAACATTACTCAGTTCTCTAAAAATATAATAAATTTTTGTAAAGCAAGTACATAGATGAATTTACAGTTATTCATTTGCCAATCTTTAACAACTGCTAAAGTCTTCTTTGTTGGCTTAATCATTTTAACAATAATACTTACATCTTTAGCACTTTTTTTCTGATCTCAACTTCCTTGTCAACAGTGGGATCTTCAAAGAGCTGTACCCTGAAGTTGCTCTTCCGAAGTGGAGTGCCACACTCAGGACAGTTTCCAGCTCCTCTCACAAACAGTAAATCCACACAGCTTTCACACCTGTAAGGAAAGAAATAAAATGACATTTAAGACAATGTTCAAATCGGCAACAAGTTTGAATCGTTTGCCTTTTAGAGGAATTAGGGAAACATGAAAACTCTTCATTGCTACTTAATGTTATCAAAAAAAAAAAAAAAACTTTTGGAAAATGACCATTTTCATTTGGAGCTTACTTTTCAGATACAGATATCCCAAGAGATACCAGTTGAGTTTTACAAATTAGAGAAATTTATAAATTAAAATAAGTTGAATAAAACGCTAAGAAGATTCAGAACAGCAATGTCAAGGAGAAGTCAATGAGCAAAGTAAAAGACTTTATGGTCACTTCTATCCCCAATTCAATAAAGGTTGAGCATCCCAATTCAAATATCTGAAATCTGAAACACGCAAAATCCATAACTTTTTGAGCACCAACATGATGCAAGAAGTGCAAAATTTCATATTGTAAAATTTTGTTTCATGCACAAAATTAATAAAAATCATGAATGATATTGCCTTCAGGCTATGTGTGTAAGATATATATGAAGTACCGATTTTGTGTTTAGACTTGTTTCTCATCCCTAAAGTGACTTGTGATATATATGCAAATATTCCAGAATCAAAAAAAAAAAAAAAACATTCAAAATCCAAAACACTTTTGATTGGTTCTAAGCATGTCAGATAAGGGATACTCAACCTTATTCACTCTAGACCTGGGCAAGAGAAGCCTCTACCAGGAGATGCTCCGTATACAACAAGCACTTATTTTTCCCATTTGCAGCCCTGTAATGAAATTTTATAAAAGTTCTGTTTACAAGAGAGAGGTGCAAACTCAATGAGGCCCCACAGGCCAGAGACAAAAGAACTTAGAGTCCCCTAGTATGTGTAGAAAGGAGAAAATCATCAGAGCTTCTGCCATGAGAAATCCTAGAAAGAGCATGTGTTTATAAAACTTTACTCAAAGTTGGACACCCTAAATCAACCAAAATTAATGCCCAGACAAATGATATTTCCAAGATACCGGCATCCCCTCTACCTTTTCTTCTTTATTCTTCTTGGGAAATACAGTTTTTGAGCTGGAAAAGTCAGGAACTAGAAGTGAACCACTCTATAACCAAATTTCTGAAGAACTGGTAGGATCAGTCCAAATATTATTTTAGATGGGTCCAGGCATCACTGGATTACCCCTGCCCTAATCCAACAGATCCATGCTACCACTTAGGAGAGAAGGTTGGACACCAAGAGACAGCAGCTACTTTAGCCTTGAGTCTTGAGGGTATAGGCTAGCAGGAACTTGGGCTGGGTCAAGATGTAGCTTAAATTATAACTTTTAAGTATTCATATATCTTGATAAGTATTCAAACACTGCATCCTCCAACTATAATCTTACCCAGTTACATGTGTGTTAGGACTCTTTTTATTTTTCATAAATAAAAATATATACATGATACACACACATACATACACACACATATTTAGTTGTATATGGACACAATACCTTTATTTTGTTTATTTTTATGTGGTGCTGAGGATCAAACCCAGTGCCTCACATGTGCAAGGCAAGTGCTCTACTGCTGAGCCCCAACCCCTGCCCTTTTTTTAAAAGCAATATTTGAAATTATTTGTGTTTTCTGTCTCCCCCACTAGGATATATTTCATGAAGGTATAACTTTTATCCTTAGTGCCTCATAGTAAGTATTAAATAAACTTTACTGAATAAAGAAATGAATATGTGACAGAGGAATAAAAAAGGTTCTAATTAATAAGGGAAAAGGTGATTTCTTCTAAGTATGTATTTAACTTAACGGATAAGAGGAATAAGTGAAAAGGGAAAGTAAGAATTTTTAAGGATATTAGCAAACTACCAACATTAACCTCAGCATATCTATATCTTAATAGTGTCATCTAAAAATAGGAGAAAATAATTTCAGAGATCATAGCTTTCATTACCAAGATAAAAACAAAATCAGAAACAGAAAAGCCACCCTAAATTTAGAACACATAGGAGTCAACACTTCATTATTCCCTGTAGTTTGAAGAAATTAAACCCAAATTCAGAAGTTGAAAACAGGCATGTTTTATAACTATATTAATTAAAGATCTTTATAAGCAGGGAGTCATATGAAATATTCAAAAGTAACTGAACCACAAAAAAAGTTTCATACTTCAAGGTTTGGGAGTCTAGATGTAGTTAATAGTTCATTTATTTAGAATATATGTAGAATAATTTAATACTTCTATAAGTAATATTGTATATTAAACATAATATATTACTTGCTTCCAAAATTAGGTATACATTTCCACTTTTTAAAAATCTGTCATAAACCAAGCATAGTGATACTCCCAGCTGTTTCTGAAGCTGATGCGGGAGAATGGCCAAGTTTGAGGCCAGCCTGGGCAACTTAACAAGACCCTCAAACTAAAAAATAAAATGGGCTGGGGGTGTAAGAGCTCAGTGGTAGAGTACTTGTCTAGCATGTGTAAAGCTGTGAGTTTATTCCCTACCTCAATAAAAATAAAAATAAAAATCTATTTTGCCTGGCTTTGTGGTGCAGGCTGTAATCCCAGCAGCTCAGGAGGCTGAGGCAGGATGATGGTGTGAGTTCAAAAACAGTCTCAGAAATTGAACAAGGTCTGAAGCAACTTATGAGACCTGGTCTCAGAATAAAATATTAAAAGGGCTGGGGATATGGTTCAGTGGTTAAGTGACTCTGGGTTCAATCCCTAGTACCTAAAGAAAAAAATAAGAATCTGCCTTAAGTCAATGTAATGTAAACAAAATTGTGGGTTGGATGGTTCAGTTGTTAAAAGTGTGTCTTATCAATGGATTCAATTCCCATCACTCCAAAAAGAAAAAAAAAATCAGAAAGGGAAATATGTTGTATAGGAAAATAAACTAAAAAATCTTTAGGAACTAAAGGTGTACCTCAACGGTAGAGTGGGTGCTTAGCAGATGGGTTCAAATTCAGGGCATCCGGCAAATTGAGTACAAGTTCTATCACTGAGCCCTAGTTCCTCCCTTTCTGATTTTAACTGGATATTTTCTGATTTTAACTGAATATTTAAAAGGTTATTTTTAAAGTTCAAACAATATAAAATTATACTGAGAAAAAAAGTTCTAATTTCTTTTGTTCTATATCTCACTTCTAACAGAAAACAAACTACTGCTAATTTTAGTGTTTATGTTGCCACATTTTTTTCTACATATTTATAAGTTATACATATGAAAACTAGTCATATGAAAAAAGTAAGAAGTTGATAGTTGCTAGTTCATTTTATCTGAAATAGTTTTCCTTCCTCCCAGAGTACTAGGAATTTGTCAAACTAAATCTTGTGTTTTACAGAACACATAAACATTTGCAAAAAAAAAAAAAAAAGTGTAAATCATCAGTCATTATCCATTCCAAGAACATTTTTATGGGTTTATTTGTTTTTAAAAGCCTGAATGATTATCTTCCCTTTTTCTGACTTATTTTATCAAAATATTTAATTGCTTATATTCCCTTAAGACATTAATCATTTTGTTTGCCATAATTTGGAAAAACAACTACATTCTTTGCAGAATTTAAACAGTTATTAAGATAGATTAACTTAGAAAAAGACAAATAATTTGTTACAAATACTATACTTAAGGCTTTCAGTGAAGTAACATATACAAAACTAATATACTTGGCTTTGTGGGGAATGTAAAGTGAATAACACTAACTTCATGCATAAAGGCCTCATATATTGTAGTGGAAATAGAAAAGAAAATGACCCTATAATCTCTTAGGCAACAAGCAACGGCTCAACAAAATTATATCTACTGTACTCTCCTGGCCAGTGAATGTTAATACATCATACTCAAATGCTCTAAGCCAAGGAAAGTTTTTTAACTATGTAGACTCTACTGTTTCATACCCCCACTTTCTGCCACAGAGGAATAGCTAAAAAGGGCATGTGGGGTCACAATGCTGGATGCTAAGTTGCACATTTGATAAAGGCTCAATGCCCCATCAAGGAAGGAAAGTAAAAATTCAAGAAACTTAAAGAAACAAAGAAAACTAACAATTGTATGAATGGTAAAGGAACATTCTATGGCTACCAGGGGCATTCTGGACTTTGGAGACTTCACAGAGAACAACCTGCTACTAAATCAAACAGGAATGCATCTCTATAGGGACTATTACTATGATTCTACCTCAGAAAAAGAAAGGCAAATTGAATTAATACTGATTTCCAGAAAAATAAGGCATGTCTTTGGGTCAAAGGAATTAAATATATATTTGCATAAGTAGGTCAAAGAACAATGTCTACAATGATCTGAAAAGGCTATTAAAATGTTTCTCCATTTTCCAACTACATACTATACATTTCAACCAAAACAACATGTAACAACAGAATCACCACAATAGCAGTTATGAGAATCCAGCTGTCTTCTCTTAAGCCAAATATTAAAAGAGATTTGCAAAAATGTAAAACATGCTACTCATCTCATAATTTTTTTGTTTTGAAAATAGTCTCACAAAAATATTTTAAATTTTCATTATACTTATTATTCTAGTCCTTCCCATTTCTTAATTCACTTTTCTATTTCTCTTGATTAGAGATGTTAACATGTGACAATTTTATAATTTTTAATAAGTATCTTCAAATTTTCTCAATTTCAACTTCCAATATCACAAAGATTAACAGATTAAAAAAAATCAAAGTTCTCTAAAAGCTCCTAGGGAGCCTCAATTTTTTTAAGATTATAAACACACTAAAGGGGCTATTGATGTACATTGTTTGCATACCATGTATAATGCTCTGGGTTCAAACTCCAACATCACAAAAAAAAGTAAAAAGTTAAAAAAAAACAAAAAAAACTGAGACCAAAATATTAGAGAACCACCACATTTTGGGATTACATTAAAGAATGCAATCATAATTTAAGAGATCTCCAAAATATCCAAACCATCAAGATTCTCTTATTTATTAGTATGAAATAACATTTTAAATTTTTTGCACAATATTATTCTACTTCTCTTTGTATGCTTTAT